GTGTGTGTGTGTGTGTGTGTGTGTGTGTGTGTGTGTGTGTGTGTGTGTGTGTGTGTGTGTGTGTGTGTGTGTGTGTGTGTGTGTGTGTGTGTGTGTGTGTGTGTGTGTGTGTGTGTGTGTGTGTGTGTGTGTGTACACTACTGTCATCCCAAAGGTGTTCTGATGGGTAAATTGTGGCCATGAAACGATGCACATGGTCAGAAACAATACTCAAATAGGCTGTGGCATTCAAGCAATGATTGATTGGTGTTAACAGGCCCAAAGGGTGCCAAGAAAACATTTCCCACACCATCTCCACCAGCCTGGACTGTTGAGATGCTTTTCTGCTCACCACAATTGTACAGAGTGGTTATCTGAGATACTGTAGCCTGTCTGTCTGCTTAAACCATTCTGGCCATTCTCTGTTGATTTCTCTTATCCCCGGGAACTGCCACTCACTGGATGTTCTTTCTTTATACCATTCTGTGTATACTCTAGAGTTGTGCGTGAAAATCCCAGGTGATCAGCAGTTCTAGAAATACTCAAACCAGCCCATTTGGCACTAACAATCATACCACGGTCAAAATCAGAGAGCTCACATTTTCCCCCCATATGATTTATGTGAACATACCCCAAGCTGCTGGCCCATATCTGCATGATTTTAAGCATTGCACTGCTGATTAGATAACTGCATGAATGAGTAGGTGTACATGTGTTCCTAATAAAGTGCTCACTGAGTGTAGCTTCACCCTTTGTTTCATATGAACAGAACTTTCCTAGTCATATTAAAATAGCAGTTAAATTTGATCAGTAAATGTTTTTAAGTTATTGTTGTTTGGATTAAACCCATTTTATTAAAGCACCCAATTACAACTACAATAATAATTACTATATCCCAAACAACTTTTTTTTTTTTGAAGCAAAACTAAAATGTGGACCCCTTGCCTATTCTTCCTGGACCAGAATTTCATGATGTTGACAAACATGAGGCAGTGAAAGTACAGAGGTTAAGAGCCAGTATGTGTGAAGGTTCAAATCCCAGGACTGCCTCAGTTAAAATATCAGCAGTGATGGTGTGTCAGATATATTCACACCACACACACTACCACTGTAGTATCATTGCTTTTCCTGAAAATAATATTTGGTCAGCGTTGTGTCTTACCATTGAAGAACATGGCAGAGGGGTGCTACAGTCAGTAATTATATACTTGCAGATTATAAAAACCACCTATATCTGGCATACCTGATTTAAATGGCAAATAGGTATAGACACAAGGTAGGTATATTTAATATAATGGATGCTGAGTGCATGCTTGAATTAGATTATTCCTCAACTGTACATTCCTTTGACCAAATGAGTAAATGTAAATGATTACAAGAAAAAACTATAGCAAAAGATGATCATTTAATATCATTCAATAATTCAATCACACCATGACACTTGTAAGTAAAAGCAAACCTACAGCTGCTCTGTGGCATGTATAAACGTGAGCAATTTGGCAAGAAAAAAGATCTAAGTGATTTGGCAAGAGGTTGCATTATTGGAGTACAGGATGCAGAAGTCAGTGTTTCAGAAGTTTCAGTCAGTGACATCTGCATTTAGATCTATGTAAAAGACATCAGTAAATAGGGTTTCAGTTGTTCTTTAGGGGACTGAGAATGTCAATGGAGGATATGTTCAGACTGTCAGTAAACACAGCTTAACGACAGCTTATATTAGGTTTTCCTTACATTTGTCGCCTGTTTGCAGCTAAGGCAATAAAAATATAAAAAGGTCCATATCAACAAATACTTTAAGCACAAAATAACATTCTTCTGTTGTGTAAAAAATATCTATACATAAGCTTTTTATGCAAAATTAATAGGTATAATCAATTCTTATTTCAAATTACCTGAATTGTGGCTAAACAAGGAAGGCAATTTGTGAGCATGTTGTGCAATTTTGGCCAAAGATTTAAACTCATACATGAACATGTAAGCAGAGTGTATTGCTACCATGTCTGCTTAGCTGAGGGGTCTTAAAATTGTTGTTATTTTCATGATCTTTGTGTTATTCCTGCATGTGTATGAAACATATCTCTAGTGAGTTAATACGAAAATAATATGTTATGTAATATGTTTTATAGACATTTGCTGTAAATAACAGCAGTATCTTCTGATACTGATTTCATACTTTATATATATATATATATATCACTTGGAGGACAGTTTCATATCAGTGGGTTCTACAGTTATTAACAGCAGCCTACCTAATTGTAGCACTCGTAGACTTACATCAGTAAAAGCCAAATTAACATCCCAATTAACTCAGTGCATGTCTAAAAAATAGCTGCAATGCCGTCTTTAAATAAGTGGGATGTAGAACATGAATGCCAATATCTGAACTTTAATTAAAATTAAAAAATTCTAATTGCCAGAACCTTTATTTGAAGTTCTACAGGTGGCTCAAGACCCACTTCCACTTTTGCACTCATATAAATAAAATATAAATATCTGCTTCCAGTCATGGGCCTTAATTAAATCACATTTTATATTACTGAGAAAGTCCTTAGCTACACTGATGAAATAACAATCATGCTTCTTTTGCCGTTGTCCTATTCCATCTTGGACCTCTCCATCTTGGTTTTGAGAAGTTCCTGACAGAAGGAAGAGGGAAGGTGTAAACAAAACAGCATACTTTCCACAATGATTCCACTGTAAAATGTCTGCACATGATCTCATGACAAATAAAAATGTAACCATGATCACGAGCCACAGGAAATATTAGTCACTCTACCTCTTCATCATCCAACATCACAGGCAAAGCTCTGTAAGAAACGGACATGTATAACACCAAAAAAAACAAAACAAAACAATAATACATGTACTGTGCTGCAATAAAGCAGTAGAACTCAAGGTAATTATGGAGTTAAGGCTACGGTAATGCTTAATAAAACATATCCAAACGAAATCCAAATCAATCAAGCAATGAAAACTCTACGCAATCTATATACATCCTAAAAACGTATTAAAAAAGTCATTGTTCTTGAACTGAAATTTACGAAGAAGAAAACTATCAAACTGGACAGTTGTATTATTTGCTCTCCTAACATTGTCTTGGTTACAGAATGCTACTTATTGTGTCGATGCTAAAGCTTTGTTTGTGGATGTCTACTCACACATCAGCAACAGTTGTAGGAATGTTCTCTTCCACCCATTTCAGGTCTTCATCTATGGAACTCTACAGGACACACATCAGGGCTTAATGGCAACACACTAATTATTCTAAATGATTGGGCCACACAAGGCCATTTACTCATTTGAAAAGAATCTAAAATAAACTGAACTTTTTCACATTCGCCAGGGTTTTGCATACAATATATTGATATAGGATGCAAAACTGATCAAACTGATGACTAATCAAACTAATC